CACTCTGGGAGGCTGAGGTAGGAGGATTGCTTGAGCCTAGGAGTTCAAGACCAGCCTGGGCAACATAGTGAGACCTCAGTCTATACAAATGAAACAGAAAACATTAGCCGGGTGTGGTGCTGTATGCCTGTAGTCCCAGCTACTCAGGTGGCTCAGGTGGGAGGATCACTGGAGCCTAGAAGTCAAGGCTACAGTGACCCGAGATCATGCCACTCACTGCATTCCAGCCTGGGTAGTGGATCAAGACTGTTTCAAAAATAAAAAGTAAAGCAAGTTTTTAATAGTTTTTGGTAATACCCATCACAAAGAGATATTAAAGGATTAATAATGGTGATCTCACTGCTGTTTAATGAGAGAATACCCGTGGGTGTGTGTTGCTCTATAGTTTCCTTCTTTCTCTCACTTAATTCTGAAAACATTCCTGTGAGGTAGACAGTGTCCGAGCTCTTTCTGCCTCTTGGCCAGTCTGGGCCCTGTTCTTCCCATTACCTGCTATTCGGTTGCCCATACTTTCTCCCACCTTTTTTGCCATGTCATGTTTTCTTCCTCAGCTTGTATTCTCCTCTGCTTTTCCTTTGTAATAGCTCATTCCCCTAACCTGTTGCATCTCTCACACCAAATTTCAGACCAAGAGAAAAACGTGATGGGTTTGGGGCAAGTACAGGCCCATGGGTAGGCTTTTTATTCCCTCCCTCTTCATCTCTTCTCTTAAATGGAGGCATCAAACTTCGTAACCAGTTAGCAGAGGGCATCTTGAAGGAGTTTGTCTTGTTCAGTATCAAAACTCCTGACATTTAACCCTCTGCCTAGTACATGGGCATTCAGTAAATGAGTGAATAAATCCAATTCACATCGTATATTTAGTTAAAAGAGTAGTTTTGCTGGGCGCGGTGGCACTCCAGAAGCCAACACAATGCTTTAGAATGGTGGCCAAATTATGGTGTACCCATGTAACAGTGATTTATAGTAACAGCTAACAGGGTTGGAGGAATGTCTTTAAGTATTAATATTTAGAGAACCCAATTATAGAATACATATTGAAATGAAAATTGAATAACCTGTAACTGGATACTTACCATTCTTCTCCCTCTCCCACCTAACATGGTTTATAATGTAAAAAGTATGGCCATCTATTAGATTCTTTTTAAGGTGAGATTATGGAGAAACAAGAGCAAGGAAGAACCAGTTAGTGGGTCAGAAAATGAAAGTTCTGTGCTTAAAATGGTCATAAATGATGTAGCTCTGAGCAGAAACTGCTGTCATTTGTCACTAATTTAGCTTCTAGGTGCTGAGATGTGTTTCTCATTTAAGTATTATTTACACTTTCCTGCGTGTCAAGGAGAGGTTTGAGAATTGAGGCAAGTTTCCTGCTTCTTCGTAGCTAGGTAGGCTTAGAATGGTTTTAACATTCTTTTATCATCCACTTTACTTACTTGACCAATGGCTATGGGTTTGTGGCAGTTCTGCATCCATTTCTATACTTGCTTTGTAAAGAGAATCCACACAGTAAACAAAAGAGAGGAGAGAGGTAATCTTTCCATCTTTTTTAGTACACTGTAAAAACGGGGATAGTGCCACCATCTGCTTATTTGTTGATGTGTTATTCACAGTGCTGGTCCCAAAGGTGATAACATCTATGAATGGAGATCAACCATTCTAGGGCCTCCAGGATCCGTGTATGAGGGTGGTGTATTCTTTCTCGATATCACTTTTACACCAGAATATCCCTTCAAGCCTCCAAAGGTAAGAAATCTCCCTGTATGCTCAAATTTACTAATTCCCACAAGAGAGCAACTGTTGAGGTTTTTCTAAATTTAATTTTTAATCACAAAACCTAGATTTATCTTATGTCCTAATAGAGCGGAGTATTTTAACATATACAAAACACTTCTTTAGGTTGATTTTGCCTTATCTGGCAGAGACCATTCTAGGAGTAAGTGCTTTGTTTTGATGGTGCCTAAAATTGTGCTATTTATATATTGTCATCAACCTAGAATTAATCCCCCATTTTCCAGCCCATAGAGAAGGGTTTTAAACAGTTAAAAATGGTGTCAAGCCAGGTGCAGTGGTGTGCACCTGTAGTCCGGCTACTTGGGAGGACTGTTTGAGCTCAAGAGTTTGAGTCCAGTCTGGGCAACAAAGCGAGACCCCAAAAAAAGGAGGCAGGACAGGTCAGGGGGTCAAACTACTAGAGAATCATAAACAGCTAGAGAATCAGAATCTCTTACCAAAGTTTTGGATTCTGTTCTGCTCCCTGTCATGTTTTGGTCTTGCTCAATTCCTTACCTCCAGGCCTCAGTTTTCTTTCTAGGACAGGTGGGGATTGCCTCAGTCACCCATCTCTTGTACTCAATCTATGAATCTCATTCAGTCAGAAATAAAACGCAGTCTTTGGGGATTAGGTAGACTGCCAGATAAAAGTACAGTTGCAGCAACAAGAAGTAATCGAAAGTCACTTTTTTAAAAAACTGGTAAAATTACAGGTAATTTTTACTTTGTGTTTTGGTATATTTCACAAATAAAAATGAAGAGACCCAAATAACACCTGCTCCTGTGGCTTGTGTTCTGCTGTGGTCCTTGCCCATTCCTGGCTCTGCATCCGTGGACACTCGATTACAAAGATAGTAAATTCTGTGATTTAGGTAGACAGGATGTCTGTGGGACCTGATGTAAAGGTCAGAAAAAAGCAGAAGTAGACTTCTCTTCAAATTTTGTTCAGCTTTTTGGGTGTAGTCATTGTTTGCTAAGTATGTTGTTTAATTATCTTTAGGTACCTATTATGTTGCACTTCAGTTTTTAAGAGATATTTATGAATCTCAGTATTTTAAAGCTTACTTTGAGGCAGTGTAGTACTACCAGCTAGCACAAGAGGTCAGCAAACAATTAGCTATTCAGACTTGGAAATGTTAATATTTAGAAGATTTAAAATTGCTAAAGATAAAATTAGGAAGTACTGAACTTACCATCAGTGGACGTAACATTTTAAATGAAATTGACACAGTCCCTGAGATGGTCAGTGAACACTTTCTAATCAAATTTATTAAACAAGTCTATCTTCTTGACAGCTTTAATTAAAACTGCTTTTATTCACCTTTTTAAAAACTACCTATCTGGGAGGGTTTTTTTTTGTTTTTTGGGGTTTTTTTTCTAATTAGGGTCATTCGGTTGAGTATTTAGTAAAAAGTTTGTTTGCTGTTTAATTATTGTTTGACACTTCCTTGTTTTCCTTAGGTTACATTTCGGACAAGAATCTATCATTGTAATATTAACAGTCAAGGTGTTATTTGCTTGGACATATTGAAAGATAATTGGAGTCCAGCACTAACCATTTCTAAAGTCCTCCTTTCTATCTGCTCACTTCTTACAGACTGTAATCCTGGTAAGGTTAATCATTCTTTACCTTGTTTTATTCTTCCTCACCTGAAAAGTACTTGTTTCCAAAAGCTTTCAAAGGACAAAACTAATTTTTCTGCAAAACTTTATGAATATAAAAACTAATCTGCCTTTGCAAAGAAAGTTTTAATCGAGAAATTCAGTCTACTAGTTGAGACATACAACTTCATTAATCAGTATATTCTAGCAACAAGGTGTTTTAAACTGAAGACTAAGTTTGCCTTGGGCTTTTACAGTTCGTTATTCTTCCTCCTCTATTTTTTTTTTCCTGTTGCTTAATTTCCCATATAGTTCTTATAAAACAAATCACACACTTCTAAATGTCAAGTCAGCTGCCTGGAAAGCCTCACCTTGCCTGTGGGGTTCAGTGGGCACGTGCCCCATAGCTGGTCACTGAGATGGCACTCAATTTTGAAAATGGTATTTGTTAAATACTTAGTGACTATTGAATTGTGACTTTTTTGGGACTTCATTTCATTTAAGAAGTATTTTTCTGTAGTCCCAGCTACTAGGGTGGCTGAGGTGGCAGGATTGTTTGAACCCAGAAGGTCAAGGCTACAGTGAGCCATGAGCATGCCACTGCACAGAACTCCAGCCTGGGTGGCAAAGCGAGACCCTGTCTCAAAAAAATAATTATTATTTTTATATATATATATATAAATATGTGTGTGTGTGTGTGTGTGTGTCAATACTTAATTGGAGGTCTAGGTTTTGCCTGGCAACCTGGCTCTTTAACCAGTGTAAAGGTAAATAGTGTTGCATTGCAACAGCCCCGAAGACTTCACAGTATTCACAATGCTGTAACTGGTGACATTGAGGTAAGGGTCACATGAACACAATTGGATGTTCATTGTAGTCTGGACCCTTGACCGTTCCAGTCTCTATTGAACTCAGCCTAACACGTAAGAGTAAAGAAACTCCAATTGGGTGTTGTTTATTGGGAGAAAAATGGAATGAACTAAGATACAGACAGACCAGTACACTAAAGCCTGAGCATTCCCTCTTCCTCCCACGTTACGATTTTTAAATTTTTGATGGAAAAATATCCGGCATGGTGGAGTGGTGTTTGGAAGATGGGTTTGATCACACATACTTGGTTGTACATGTCTGCCCAAGCTGTCACTAATGTATTTGCTAAAGTGTAAAATGTTCTTTTCCTTTCTCCAAAGTAATCTCCATTCTTTTCTTCCAGCCGACCCCTTGGTGGGAAGTATTGCCACTCAGTATATGACCAACAGAGCAGAACATGACAGAATGGCCAGACAGTGGACCAAGAGATACGCTACATAAACTGGGTTTTCACAATTCTTACATTATTTGTCACAGAAGAGAGCTGCTTATGATTCTGAAGGGGTTAGGGAGGGTGGGAGTTGGTAAAGAGTAGGGTATTTCTATAACAGATATTATTCAGTCTTATTTCCTAAGATTTTGTTGTAACTTAAGGTATCTTGCTACAGTAGACAGAATTGGTAATAGCAACTTTTAAAATTGTCATTAGTTCTGCAATATTAGCTGAAATGTAGTACAGAAAAGAATGTACATTTAGACATTTGGGTTCAGTTGCTTGTAGTCTGTAAATTTAAAACAGCTTAATTTTGTACAGGTTACACATATGGCCATTTATGTAAAGTCCCTCTAAGACTACATACTTTTTGTTTAAAACAAAATTGGAATTTGTTTTCCCTTCTTGGAAGGGAACACTGATATTTAACAGAGTTTTGAGAGACTGTCATCTCATATATATAAAATGGACACGTGGCTGTAAAACACCATATAGGAGATGAGTAATGTGTTTTATTTTATATGCCAATCTACTTTGTTTAAAAAAGGTTTAAATCAGGACTTGTGAAAACCTGTAGTGAAATACCTTAAGCTGTTAACTGTAAGGCGTGGAATAGGAGTTGCTCAGTGGATTGGTTATATGTTGTGGACTACTTAAGTCTGCATTTGTTACTGTGCTAATAAACAATATTAAAAATCGCCTAATGCTGCTGTGTTCATTTACTTTTATTTTTGCCTTTTGGTTGCTGTTTGCAGATTCTTCTGAAATCGATAGGTATCTGCTTCTAAAACAAGCTAAAAATAATGCATATTTAGTAGGTATTATTTACCCATATTAGGATCTGTACTTTACACAGCTGTAGATGTTGAGGTATCCTAGATAAGGTTAAATAATCTACCCCATTTAGGCTTCAAAGACGAACCCTACTGCATTTTTTAAAGCGTTTTCTGACTTGCAGATGCTGTAGTAGCAAGTACAAGAGAGATGGGTTCTGTCAGGGATAAACTGGTACACTGCCGTAGGGGGCATTTTGGCAGTACCTAAGTATACACAGGGCATGACCCAGCAGTGCTGTTGCGGTGTGTCTCTTTCAGAGAAACTTACATTCATTACAGAATTTAAAAAGAATTGGTAACTCTGTCTGTACTAATATAGACTAAGTTGCATTAGCAGGAAACAAAACAAACTGGAAGGTACTTATTTAAAAATCATTATGAAAGCATTTGTCCATCTACGTAACATGCATGGGGGGAAAAGCTAGATTAATATTCAATAACTGGAGGGAAAGGTAAGGGGTGAGTTAGTGTCTGAGTGGTAATTTTTTGACCAAAAAATGAATTTATGATGAGAAATTTTGAAGAATTCTACTATAGCAGCAATAGCTGATTTATAAGTATTGTCTTTTATATGTAGTAGTTCTTCACTTGAGCTCATGAAAAAAAGTATTCCATTTAAGATGTTACAAATTACTTGATGTTTTAATATGTTCTTTGCTGAATAGCTTATTTTACATTTCAATTAAAATAGTTATTTCACAGATGAAATCACTAGCTTACTTCCTTTTAAATTAATAAAGTTACAGTCAGCCACATCGCTCAAGTCTTGCCAAAATCTTTAGAGAAACAACACAAATTCAGACATCTAACTTAGACCATCTAGAGCCCAGTATTTTTCATACTTTTATTGTATATAACTAGTTTTCTAGAAAACTGTTCCAGAAGATACAGTCTTCCTTCCAGAAAATACAGCTTTACTGTCCTTAAGTGCCTAATCATTTTCAAGAGGAGCAAACAGTTTGCCCTCAAGTATCTGGTCTATCAACAGGGATCTGGCTGAAGAAAAAACGGCCTTAGAGTGTGATGAACCTACTTACACTACCTGGTACCTCAAATCATGCTAAACATTCTAATTTGACCCTAAATCATGGGTCTTAGTCTGTTTAGCAAAATCTCCACAAGATGAAATTTAGCTTACTACCCCCCAAACTATTGAATGTTTTGGGTCCAATTTAGACATAAAAAGTGTTGTTTTATAATCCTAGACATTAGATTAATAACCTTTTTAAAAACGAAGTCATGTTTGAGCTTAGAAGTTTGCATAATGTAACAATGATTTATGGTATCTTCTGAAACAGCTTGGGGATGGGGGGAAGTTACACATAGGTGCATTTGCATAACTGTCCAAACTTTATTTTACTGTTTTCACAAGTACAACATAAATAACAAAGGTGCTAATTTCAAAGACAGGTTTCAAACAATGAGAATAAGAATATATTATTTCATAACAGGCAATAATAACCTTAGCCCAAATACTTTTAACATCTAAAGTGCATTAAATGACTTCCTTGGGAATTTTCCTAAGGACCAAAGGTAGATACAAATGGCCTATTTTAAATAGTGATATTACTCCATGTTCACAGACACTTAAAGGCAGTCACTATTCAACATACAATTGTGAAATTACAGATTTTTAGTTCTCAGAACTAGAGTTCCCTTTGTTTTTCCTCCCAGGCAAAGGAAAGCTTGATTTGCTCTGGGGTTGAGAAAGTTTACTGGCTAATAAAGTGAATGGTTCAATCAGAGTTTTCCGATCTGTAACAGTCACCTCCCACAGTCTCACTTTCTCACTTTTTGCCCACTGCTGTGCCACTTCAGCGTCCACTTGTCTCTGCTCAGAAAGGTCGATTTTGTTTCCTAATACAACAATTGCTACCTGAAAGAAAACGGATTGAAAAGATCATACTAGTACTTTGCCAACATCAGTTCCTGGGCAAAACGGAGACACAGAGAAAACTGTTCCACTTAACAAACCTGCTTCATTAAACTCATTCTCAAGTGTGACTGGATATTAGGGTATCACCTTACTCCTTAATGCGTTTTTGTTAAAAATGCAGATGCTCGGCTGGGTGCAGTGACTCATGCCTGTATTCCCAGCATTTTGGGAGGCCGAGGCTCATGGATCTCTTGAGGTCAGGAGTTCGAGACCACCCTGACCAATAGGGTGAAACCCCATCTCTACTGAAAATAAGAAAATTAGCCGGGCATGGTGGCATGTGCCTGTAGTCCCCTCTACTTGGGAGGCTGACGCAGGAGAATCACTTGAACCTGGGAGGCAGAGGTTGCAGTAAGCCGAGATGGCACCACTGCACTCCAGCCTGGGCGACTGCACAAAACTCCCATCTCCAAAAAAAAAAAAGCAGATGCTCTGTAGTTTGCTAACTGTAAAAAGAAAAAAAAAAAAAAATTTAGCTCAGGTATGAATGCAAGATAGACTTGGGCAATAGGCATCTAGGTATTACAGACTGGTTTCAATGAGTCTGCATTTCAGTTTGGCTATACTTGATATATGAGAGATTTGCAACATAGTACTTCAAAATAAGACAACTGAAGCTGTGGGAGTTCTGTATCCATGAGAACAGGAATTGTTATGTTCACATTATTCCCAATACTAAAAAGGTGACTGCTAAGGGTCTGTTAAATGTATGGGCCAAAAAAACAAGTATGTGCCAATAGGAACATTTTACACGAATGCTTACTATCCACCAGGCACTAAAGGTGACCAGAATACAGCAGTCAAAGCTTGGGGGGAGGAGAAGAGACCCCAAACCAGATTTTCAGATAGTACCCATAAAGATTACACAGGATGCTGTGATAGTAGAGGAGGGGCAGCAAGAACTGTCATAAGAAGGCCCCTCTGAGGAGCAGCAGTGAACTCATCAGACCTTGGAACCACTACCGTCTTCCTTCCTGTCTGTACGTTGAGCTTGAGCTCCCTGTGCTCCAGGTAGCTGGCAGGATGAAAGTGGGCCCAGAGCTCCGGTTTTCCAGGGGAATCGCATACTCTATCTCACCCTTCAAGCCCTCCTGTCATTCTTCATCACCCAGATTTTCATCTTTGTGTACATCCCCTACTGTGACTTCCATCTCCCTCTCCTCCCAACTGCAGAAACTCGTTCCCTTTACCCCTTAGAATTCAGCAAGACTCACCCCCACTGCATCCTCCACCTCTGCTTTGAATGTTCTCTTCACCTTCTTTCCTAGTGGCCTTGCAGTCCTGCTTCTCCTATCATTCCCCTCTTACCACTACCACGAGGTTCAGGTAAGATGTCCTCCTTGCCCCTCAATGCTACCTCCAATGGTGTCCTCTAAAACCCCTGCAGAAGGCTGATGCTATCAGTCTGTTGTACCTACTAACCCCGGGCTGGCCACCCAACTGCTCCTCATCACAGAGCTGGCTCATGGTCAACCCGCCCTCGCCGTTACTCTGGTCATAATTCTTAGTGATTTCACTAGCCATGCAGATGCTGCTTCCAGTAACCTGGTCTCTCATTCTTTGACTTCTCCAGTGGTCTCATCATCCTTACGTCAGCCATCCACCACTCCCGCAGTCATATCCTAGACCTTGTTCGTTTTTTTGTTTTAAAGAGACAGGGTCTCTCTCTCTCTCTCTCTGTCACAGATGGAGTGCAATGGCTTGATCATAGCTGGTTGCAGCCTTGGGCTTCTGGGCTCAAGCGATCCTGATCCTCCTCCTCAGCCTACCAAGCAGCTGTGACCACAGGCATGCGCCATCATGCCCAGCTATTTTTTTAATTTTTAGAGATAGGGTCTTACTTTGTTGCTGGAGCTGGTCTCAAACTCCTTGCTTCAAGCAATCCTCCTGCCTCAGCTCCACAAAGTGCTGGGATTACAGGCGTGAACCACCACCCCCAGCCTAGACCTTGACATTGTAACTGCTCTCTCTGATCTCAGCTCCAGGCATCCCACTCTGACTCCTGCCCTCCCCGTCGTGCCTAATGCCCCAGTGCAAGAATTCCAACCACCACAAGGACATACAACCTACTGGCTCTACTACCTTTATCACTGTCCTTCCACCCTACTCATGTCCTTAATTCCTCCCTACCCAGCTTAGATTATTTTTATTCACTCCCTCGCCCCCATTGTCCCACCATATTCACCTGGCAAAACCCCTCCCTTGTTAAATTTAACTGTTAACCAGACTGCCTACACCATTTAGCTGAATATGGCCGGAGAAAAACATACAACCCTGGTGGCCCAGATCACACCACAGACCTCAAACGAACTGGCGTTCTCCGGCAAATGTATTACATTTTCTCCATTTACTCTGTAATGAGACATCGCATACCTTGGTGCCCTTCTACAAGTTCCAGTATCTACTCTTCCCCACTTTCCTTTCACCGGATGACCATATTGTTTTACTCAGTAAGATACACAATTAGAAGAGAATTTCAGCCGGGCGTGGTGGCTCACGCCTGTAATCCCAGCACTTTGGGAGGCAGAGGCGGATGGATCATGAGGTCAGGAGATCGAGACCATCCTGGCTAACATGGTGAAACCCCATCTCTACTAAAAATACAAAAAAATTGGCCGGACGTGGTGGCGGGCGCCTGTAGTCCCAGCTACCCGGGAGGCTGAGGCTGGAGAACGGCGTGAACCCACAAGACGGAGCTTGCAGTGAGCTGAGATCGCGCCACTGCACTCCAGCCTGGGCCACAGAGTGAGACTCCATCTCAAAAAAAAAAAAAAAAAAGGAGTATTTCCACATCCTTCCGCCACCACATCTAACAACCTACCATCTTCCAAGCTCATTCGCTCTGCCCTAAAACCCATCCGCCTTTACCTGGACAAGGATGTCACTCCAGCACTTAGTCCCCTCACCATCAATTTTCTCCCATTAGCATACAAACACAATGTTATCTAAACAAAACAAATGGCCAGGCACAGTGGCTCATGCCTGTAATCCCAACACTTTGGGAGGCTGAGGTGGGTGGATCACCTGAGGTCAGTAGTTCAAGACCAGCCTGTCCAATATGGTGAAACCCCATCTCTACTAAAAATACAAAAATTAGCCAGCCGTGGTGGTGAAAACGCCTGTAATCCCAGCTACTCGGGAGGCTGAGACAGGAAAATCGCTTGAACCTGGGAGGCAGAGGTTGCGGTGGGCCAAGTTGATGCCACCGCACTCTAGCCTGGGCAACAGCGAGATTCCATCTCAAAAAAACAAAAAAACAAGTATGATACAACTATAGCCACAGGATGAATATTATTCATCAGTTACCAAGAAAAAAACGCAGGGGGCGGGTAGGTGTGGTAGCTCACACCTCTAATCCCAACAGTGTGAGAGGCTGAAGAAGGAGGACTGTTTGAGACCAGGAGTTTGAGACTAGCCTGAACAACATAACAAGAACTGTCTCTACAATTAAAAAAAAAAAAAAAAAAAAACAGAAAAAAGTCTGGGTACTGATATGGAAAGAACTCCAAGATATGCTACATGAAAAATAGAAGGCACAAGATAGTATGTACCTGGTGTAAGAAAGGGAAAAAAGGCAAGGCACACGGTGGCTCACACTTGTAATCCCAGCACTTTGGGAGGCCAAGGCAGGAGGATCACTTGAAGCCAGGAGTTGGAGACCAGCCTGGACCACATATCAAGACCTTGTCTTTACAAAAAAAATAAAATAAATATAAAAATTAGGCAAGCATGGTGATGCATGCCTGTAGTCCCAGCTACTTAGGAGACTGAGGCAGAAGGTCACTGGAGCCCAGACGTTTGAGGCTGCAATGAGCTATGATCATGCCATAGCTCCCCGCCACAGAGTAAGACCCTGTCTGAAATAAGGGGGGGAAAAAAAAAAAAGGGAGGAAAAATATTTTTTAATGTAGACTCCTATTTGCTTGTATTTATATAAAGAAACTTTGGACAACTGCCTCAAAACTGGTAAAAATATTTTAAAAAGCATGCTTAATGTATAGGATCTTGGTGGTTGAGGACACATGTGGGAACCAGACTGAACACAGTCCCCATTTCAGAACCATGTGCAAACATTACTTATTCAATTTTTTAAAACCAAACATGAAAATAAATAAATGCAACTTAAACCATATCATGTCATTCCTTTGCCCCGAACCAGTGCCTTCTGATCTCACTAAAAGTGAAAAGCAAAGTACCCTCATCACCTACAACATACCTGCTAGCCCACTCTGGCTTCACTGCTGATTCCTGAACGTGGCAAGCAAATTTTGACCTCAGATCCTTGGCACTAGCTATTCCCTCCACCTGGAGCACTCTTCCTTCCAGACATCAGCTTTGCTCCCTCCCTCCTTACTTCCTTCAAATATCTGCTACAGTCACCCTACAGAAAATAGCACCCTCATTCCCCATTCTGCTTTTCTACATAGCATCACTCTTTGTAATGTATTAAATATATTTATTTACTGTCTTTCGCACTCCAAACATAGAAGCTTTACTGAGATATGGGCTGTTTTGTTCTCTAACACATTCCCTGTACCTAGAACAATGCCTGGCACATAGTAGTTGCTCAATAAGCATTCACTGAATTAATATGATTATAGGGATTGAAGCAGCATATGAGGAAGGTACTATTATTCTCCTTTTACAGATAAGGAAACTGAAGCAGAAAAGCTGAGAACCGAAGCCAAGATTTAAGTATCTAGTACATGAGTGTTCATTGACCTTTCAACTTCTGTGGGGCAGAGAGCGGTCTCTGGAGGATACCCAATAAATAATTACAGCATTTGCCTGTTTCGGTGGGAAAGATGGAAAATACGGGGGAGAGGAGTTTTCATACCTTCTTACATCTTTTCAAAACCTTGTGAATATGTTATCTATTTACAAAGTAAATTAGTATTCTAAATAAAATATCAATAACCCAGATGTCTTACAACAGATAATGGTTAAAAAGAGTTTGGTACATACCATGGAATACTACTCACCAAGAAAAAGAAATGAACTACTGATACATGCAGTGACTTGGATGAATCTCCAGAGAATATGTGAGTGAAAAAAGCCAATCCCAAAAGATTACATATTGTATGATTTATTTTCTTTTTTTTTTTTTTTTTTGAGATGGAGTCTTGCTCTGTCACCCAGGCTGGTGTGATCTCAGCTCACTGCTGCAACCTCTGCCTCCCAGGTTTCAAGCGATTCTCCTGCCTCAGCCTCCTCAGTAGCTGGGATTACAGGTGCGCACCACCACACCAGGCTACTTTTTGTATTTTTTTAGTAGAAACAAAGTTTCACCATGTTGGTCAGGCTGGACTCAAACTCCTGACCTCATGATCCACCCACCTCGGCCTCCCAAAGTACTGGGATTACAGGTGTGAGCCACTGTGCCCGGCCTGTATGATATCTTTTATGTCAGGGGTCCCCAACCCCTAGGTCATGCACGGTACCAGTGCAGGGCCTGTTAGGAACCGGGCCACACAACAGGAGGTGAGCAGGGAGCGAGTAAGCATGACCACCTGAGCTCTGCCTCCTGTCAGATCAGTGCTGGCACGAGATTCTCACAGGAGCTCGAGAATCGAATTGTGAACTGCACACGTGAGGGATCTAGGTTGCACGCTCTTTCTGAGAATCCAATGGCTGATGATCTGAGGGGGAACAGCTTCATCCCCAAACCACCCCAAACTCCATCTGTGGAAAAACGGTCATCCACAAAACCAGTCCCTGATGCCAAAAAGATTGGGGACCACTGATTTATGTAACAATCTTGAAATGACACAATTATAGAAATAGAGACCAGATTAGTGGTTACCAAGGGTTAAGGTGGGGGTGAAGATGGGAAGGAAGTGGGCAGCTATAAAAGAGTAACATGAGGGATCTTTGTGGTGATGGAAATGTTCTGTGTCTTGACAATCAACACTAATACAGTAGTTATGATGTACTACAGTTTTGAAGATGGTACCACTGGGACAAACGGGTAAGGGACCTCTCTGTGTTACTTCTTAAAACTGCATGTGACTCAACAACTGTCTCAAAATAAAAGCTTAACAAAAAAACATATGAAAATATAAGTTAAGGCCGGGCGCGGTGGCTCAAACCTGTAATCCCAGCACTTTGGGAGGCTGAGACGGGCGGATCACGAGGTCAGGAGATCGAGACCATCCTGGCTAACATGGTGAAACCCCGTCTCTACTAAAAAGTACAAAAAAAACTAGCCAGGCGAGGTGGCGGGCGCCTGTAGTCCCAGCTACTCGGGAGGCTGAGGCAGGAGAATGGCTTAAACCCGAGAGGCGGAGCCTGCAGTGAGCTGAGATCTGGCCACTGCACTCCAGCCTGGGCGACAGAGCGAGACTCTGTCTCAAAAAAAAAAAAAAGAAAAGAAAAGAAAATATAAGTTAAGAACATCTAGCCAGTACTTTTTGTTGTTGCTGTTTGTTTTGGTTTTTGGTTTTCTTCTACCATCTAGCCAGTACTGTTAATCAGTATATTATCTGGTTCCCTAGACAATGAAGAGTCTGCCACGTGAAGATCTGGAGAAAGATTTGAGATAAGACAGTTTCAGGCAGGGAAACAAGCCACTGAGAAAGTTTAATAGGAGAACAAAACTATCATGTTGAAAAAACAAAGTAGACCAGTGTCACTGGAGTATAGTGAGAGACAAGCAGATGATAAAGATGAGATGAAAAGGATAGGCGTGGGCCAGGTAATCTAAATATTTACAGACCACTGTAAGGCATATGAATCTTATGTTTAAGTGGTATATGGGTAGAATCCAATAATTATTAGCTCTTTTTTTTTTTTTCTCGGTAAGCCTGAAGACAAGAATCCTATGTACCCAAGGAGATAATAAAAAGCCCAAGGAGGCTGGGCACAGTGGCTCACGTCTGTAATCTCAGCACTTTGGGAGGCTGAGGCAGGTGGATCACAATGTCAGGAGATTGAGACCATCCTGGCTAACATGGTGAAACCCTGTTTCTACCAAAAATACAAGAAATTAGTGGGCATGGTAGCACATGCCGGTAGTCCCAGCTACTCGGGAGGCTGAGGCAGGAGAATCGCTTGAACCTGGGAGGCAGGGGTTGCAGTGAGCCAAGATCGTGCCATTGCACTCCAGCCTGGGTGAAAGAGAGAGACTCTGTCTCAAAAACAAACAAATAAACAAATTTTAAAAACCCATGAAAACAGCAATACCAAAGAACATAAAATGAATTATGTAGTACTTGAGATAAGAAGTCATTAAAATTCAACTTGTACATAGTAACAAGCAAAAGGCAGAAAGTCAAATTCTGGTCCTGACTAAATTCAGTCAGTCCTGTATTTCTTGGGTTAAGAAAAAAATTCTAGGCCGGGCATGGTGGCTCACACCTGTAATCCCAGCACTTTGGAAGGCCAAGGCCAGCAGAGCATTTGAGGTTAGGAGTTCAAGACCAGCCTGGTCAACATGGTGATACCCTGTCTCCACTAAAAATATAAAAATTAACCGGGCATAGTGGCACACACCTGTAATCCCAGGTACTGGGGAGGCTGAAGCAGTAGCTCGTTCTCCTCTGGGGAGGAGAATCGCTTGTACCTGGGAGGCGGAGGTTGCAGAGAGCCAAGATCGTACTATTGCACTTTGCACTCCTGCCTGGGAGACAGAGCGAGACTCCGTCTCAAAATACAAAACAAAAACAAAAACAAAAACAAAAAAGAAAAGAAAAGAAAAAAACTGTAAAGGGTTAAGGTTTTACAGATACTAAGAATACATTGTAATGATCTGAAAATAAACTACCCAAAAGTCTGTGCTATAATTTAAATGGTATTATAATTCACATTTGGCATTTTTATCCACTTGCCTCTTTTTTGTCTTTGAACTTATCAATTTCTTTCTTCAGAAGCTCCACTCTTTGAAAGGATTCAAGGTTATTCACACTGTACACAAGAACAAAGCCATCAGCAAATGAAAAATAATGCTTTGGCAGCTCCACGCCTTCCTGTAGACCTCTGGTGTCATAAAGATGTAACTGTTCTTTTACTCCTCGGTCTGTTTCCACTGAAGCCATGTACACATCTTCCATTGTTTCGCAATCTTCCATTCCTGGGATTAAGAAAAGAAATTACTCTTTTTGGCTAAGCCAGTGAACTGCTCAGTATTTTCTTGTCCCTTAGAAATTGGCTTTCTAGGTTTCCTATTTACCACATATAATAATCACATTTTTATTTTACTTTTTTTTCAAACAGGGTCCTGTTCTGTTGCCCAGGCTGAAGTGCAGTGGCTCGATCTCAGCTCACTGCAACCTCCGCCTCCTGGGCTCAAGGGATCCTCCTACCTCAGCCTCCCAAGTAGTCCCTCCCAGCTGGGACTACAGGTGCCATCATGCCCAGCTACTTTTTGTAGAGACAGGCTTTCACCATGTGGCCCAGGCTGGTCTCGAACTCCTGGGCTCAAGCAATCTACCCACTTTGGCCTCTAAAAGTGCTGGGATTACAGGTGTGAGGCACTGCACCTGGCATAAACAAAATTCTTTTAAAAAATACTTCTTCTGCATAAAAATAAAAATCCCCTTCTTGTTTATGATATTTTAAAAATGCATTTTACCACTTTGTTTCATTTGTGCAAGTTTTATCTCTTCAACTAGTCTCTAAGTTTACTGAGTGAAAGGAACCATTCTGTATACACAGCAAATATTCAATAAGCCCTTGTTGATAAAGGAATTAAAGGGAGAAGATTAGCACTCTGAATTTTAATAAGAGTAGTGGAGAGACATGTGATAAGACAGGTAAGGTATAGTCCCAGTAATCACCTCCATATTTAAATATGAGGCCAGGTGCGGTGGCTCACGCCTATAATCCCAGCACTTTGGGAGGCCGAGGTGGGCAGATTACCTGAGGTCAGGAGTTCAAGACCAGTCTGGCCAACATGGTCAAACCCCGTCCCTACTAAAAATACAAAAATTCACTGGGTGTGGTGGTGGGCGCCTGTAATCCCAACTACTCAGGAGGTTGAGGCAGGGAGAACTGCTTGAACCCGGGAGGCAGAGGTTGCAGTGAGCCGAGATCATGCCACTGCACTCCAGCCTGGGCGACAGAGCGAGACTCCATCTTAAAAAATAATTTAAAAAAATAAAAATAAAAAAATGTGAGATACATCCAGAGGTAAAATCACATGGGTAACATCCTATACCCCCCCCCCAAGTCATACTATGTTATAGTTTTTTTTTAAACTCTAGTTACAGTTTTCCTAAACAACCTATATACTGTAGAATGATTTGTTCCAGATGCCTTACATGAAATGTCCGTAAGTATTAGATTACATAAAATCTCCATAAGTATTAGATTAAAAGGAATAATCACATGGTAATACATAGATTGCATCATGAGAAACCAAAAATTTACTTTCATCAACATAACTCATAAAGAATGTATTCAGTGTTTAGAAAGGTAAAATTATTCATAAATTTGATTATGTATATACATGTCTGTGTCATCCTGTCATAAATTAAGCCCTAAGGAAATTAAAGGTTATCTATTAAGACACAAACATACTGGGCTTTGATTACAAATTAATTTAAAAGCAAAAACTACCAAGTGTTTTGTCATGTGACGTTTTATCCACCAAAAGCCAGTCCTGTTAGCCCACCGCTACCTGCCTCTCCAAAAGGGGGTCTAAAGCTTAGACCTTTTGATATTTTGGTACTTTAAAGATCAAATGAAGTCAAGAGTCTTCCACTAGTTCTCTAGATCTCTTTAAAAAGATCAAATGAAGTCAAGAGTCTTCCACTAGTTCTCTGATTAAAGATCAAATGAAGTCAAGAGTCTTCCACTAGTTCTCTAGATCTCCTCTCCCACTCCATGCTGCTGGGCAACAACCCATCTCACACGCCAGGGGAAGGCTTAAGGGTGCGATCTCTGGGGAGCGTAAAACAGAGGCTGTCTGGCCTGTGGGATAAAGGGAATGAGTTCCACTATGAAAACCGGGCAATTAAGTGACATGCCTGCACACACACATACTGAATGTTGAAGTCCTCCAGCTCTCCCTTTCTGCTCCCAAAACACTGGCAGCCAGGACTTTATCCCCATCCAGAGGAATCTGGAGAATCTGGCCAATGGAAAAGGAGAAACTCCCAAATATACTGACATCTAGGCTTCCCCAGCAAATGCCCCTGCCAGATCACTTTAGTGAAGCTCAAAGTCATGAACCCTATCCATATGCCTAGAGCTTCCAATTGTTTTTTTTTGTTTGTTTTGAGATAGAGTCTCGCTCTGTCACCCAGGCTGGAGTGCAGTGGCTGGATCTCGGCTCAATGCAAGTTCCACCTCCCAGGTTTATGCCATTCTCCTGCCTCAGCCTCCCGAGTAGCTGGGATTACAGGCGCCCGCCACCTCGCCCAGCTAGTTTTTTTGTACTTTTTAGTAGAGACGGGGTTTCACCGTGTTAGCCAGGATGGTGTCGATCTCCTGACCTCGTGATCTGCCCGTCTCGGCCTCCCAAAGTGCTGGGATTACAGGCTTGAGCCACCGCACCCCGCCCCAATTGGCTTTTTAAGTCTTATTTATTTATTTTTGAGACAGGGTCTCACTTTGTCATCTAGACTGGAGTTCATTGGGACAATCTCAGCTCATTGCAGCCTCGATCTCCTGGGCTCAGGCAATCCTCCCACCTCAGTCCTTCAAGTGGCTGGGACAATAGGTGCACACCACCAAGCCCCACTAATTCTTGTATTTTTTTGTACAGATGGGGTTTTACCATGTTGCCCAGGCTGGTCTCGAACTCCTGAGCTCAAGTTATCTGCCTGCCTCTGCCTCCCAAAGTGCTAGGATTACAGGCGTGAGCCAATGCACTGGGCCTAGGTGTCCATTTTTAATTATGAACAGACAACCAAGGTTTAGTAGACACTTGAAGAAAATAGAGACTAACAAGAAGAGACCACTACAGAGGAAACCTACTATACAAAGAAAAGAAAAACAAAACAAACAAACAAAAAACTACCTAATCTATCAAAAAAATAAGATAGTACATCCATGAAATAAGAACAGGATACTGAAAAACAAAAACTCAATAGAAGGGCTGAAAAACAAAGATGAGGATATCTCCCAAAAAGTGGTACAAAAATATTGAGAGATGATAAACAGGAAAGGAGAAATAAGAAAATTCAAAGACTAGTTCAGAAGGTCCAGCATCCAAAAAGAAAGTTCCAGAAAAAAAGAACAGAGAACACAGAGGAAAGAAAGCAACAACAAAATAATTCAAAACTGAAGAACATGCATTTCCATCTAGAAGGGACCCTCTAACCGTCCACTACAGTAAATGAAAACAGACTGGCCAGGCGTGGGGGCTCACACCTGTAATCCCAGCACTTTGGGAGGCCAAGGCGGGCAGATCACCTGAGGTCAGGAGTTTGAGCCTGGCTAACATGGTGAAACCCTGTCTCTACTAAAAATACAAAAATTAGCCAGGCATGGTGGCGCGTGCCTGTAATCGCAGCCACTCAGGAGGCTGAGGTGGGAGAATTGCCTGAACTCAGGAGGTGGAGGCTGCAGTGAGCTGAGATCGTGCCACTGCACCCCAACCTGGGCAACAGAGCGAGATTCCAGTAAAAAAAAAAAAGAAAGAAAAAGAAAAGATCGATTCTATGATGCATCACTGAAATTTCAGAACACTGGTGTCTTAGTCCATTTGTGCAAAATACCACAGACTGGGTAATTCATAAACAGAAAATTTATCTCTCACAGTTCTGGAGGCTGGGAAGTCCAAGATCAAGGTGCCAATAGGTTTGGTGTCTTGTTACAGCCCAGTCTCCACTGCAAGATGGAGCCTTGTTGCTGCATCCTTGGGAGGGGTCAAATGTTGTGTCCTCACATGGTGGGAGAGACACAAGGGCAAGAGAGCACTCCCTCCAACCTCAACCCTTTTATAAGGATGCTAATCTTTCATGAGGGATTAGTCCTCATGAAGGTGAAGGGTGGAGCCCTCATGACTTAATCATCTCTTATAGGCCACACTGCTTAATACTGTTGCATTGGAGATTAAGTTTCAACATGAATTTTGGAGGGGATCCTATCCTTCAAACTACAGCGACTGGGAACAAAGAAGAGAGCCTAGAAAAGCTTCCATAGACAAAGCATCAAGAATCATAATGGTTCCCAGATTCTCAAAAGTAGCACTAGAAGCAAGAAGACAATAGAAGCTGGTAAAGTTCAAGAGACACACCTTCTATGAATCAGCAATTTCATTCCTAGATATGTATACCAGAATTTATCACATAATAGCCAGGATACATGTACAATAATATTCCAGAGTAGCATTATTTCCAATAGCTCCGAACTGGAAATAACCCAAATATTCATCAAGACAGAAGACAGGTAGTTTCATGCAATAAAATGTTACATCAATGAAAAGTAAAGAACCACAGCTACGGCAAAAATGGATGAATCTTTTATTTTTTTTTTTTTCTAAATAGACATGGGGTCTCCCAATGTTGCCCAGGCTGATCTCAAACTCTTGGGATCAAGTGATCTTCCCACCTCGGCCTCCTAAAGTGTTGGGATTCCAGTGGTGAGCCACCGTGCCTGGCCTGATGTGTCTTATAAATACAATGTTGAATAAAAGAAACCAGACATGGATTAATTCATATAAAATCCATAGGGCAAAAATAAACTATACCATTTAGTGATACACACATATGTGGCAATTAAAAATAAAAAGAATGATTAACCAAAAGTCAAGGGAAGGAATGAGTTGCAACTGGACAGAGGAATACAGACAGCCACTGGCCTGTCCTCAATGTTGTACTTTTTGATCCATGTGGAGAGTTTGTGAAGGTTTGTCTTATAATTATTGATTAAATCATATATGTAATGCTTTCAAAATTCTGAAAGGATATTATTTTTGACCTAGAGTTCTATACCCATCAAAATTACAATTCAAATGTTAGTGCAAAATAAAGACAGTTTCAAACATACAAAGCCTCAAAAAATGTATCACGTATATTTTCTCAGAAAACTATTTGAGAAGACCCTCCATAACAGTTAACATGTAATCATAGAAACAGAAAGAAACAGAACCTAACACAGATATGAAGCAAAGGAAATCACAAG